GGATATATAGATTTCTAATACAGCCTTACCAAAATGGCACTGTTGAACAGGATCCATGGAGAGAAATAAGAGTTAAAAGTTGACTAAATCATACTGTTCAATAGAACAGAACATGGAGAAAGCCAAAGCTTCATTTTCAGGTAGGATAAAGTGTTAGAACTTTTGTAACTAGATTGATGGAAGGTATTTCCTCATCATTTGTATATATCATGCAGATTTTATTCCCTTAGAATTGTGTTAATAAAGATACTTAAACCCCAAATGCTTCAAAGCTAATAAAATCTTTTAAATAACATTCATTATTGTCCTCAAAATTTGGGATACTTCTAAACCTTTCACTTTCTGTATAATGAGTACAATATTCTCAAGAATTTCACTTGATGAACTTTTCATGGAGTAGCATTTCTTTAGACTCATTTATACCAGCAGTCTGTAACTAAGATATTTTCTAGTCTCATACATGAAGAGAAGATCATTAACAAAAGAAACAAACATTAGCACCAATACAATAGGCCTATTTTAAAAGGGTGTCATCATTTGGGGAAAAAAATATACAGAGGACTCCTCTTTGGACTGAGTGGCTTAAATTTGGCTTACTGCTTCCTTTCTTTTCCAAGATGCTATGAGAAATATTATTATCTTTCAACGGACACTCTTTAAGGCTCATTAGTAAAGTCTGTAGAAACCAGCTCATCTGACCTCAACCAAATGGATTCTTTACTTAACAGTGGTTGCTATCTTTTTGTCTGTTGGTACATCAAAGCTCTGTCTGTCTAGGTAGGTAATTGTATATATTTACCTTGTTTTTGTTTCCAGATAGTTTTTGGCTCCACATGCTCATTGAGAGAAATTCTGGTAATATGGAAATGAAAGTATCCAGACAAAACAAGTTGGGAGTCTGCAGTATATTATTAACTGAATATTATTAACTATCTTAGTGACTTCTCCTTGTACGGGACTTTTAAACCTTGAGTAACTCCTAGGGTTCCTGTGAAACTGAACGGAGGCTATGTAACAAAACATGACTTCTAACATATGTTCCCTTTTCTAAACAGATACTGTTAGCACAACCTAACCATGAGTAGAAAATTTGAACCACTTGTTTCATTAAGAAGTGTAAGAGCATCAACCCACTGATTTTAGTAACGGTATTGAAAACTACCAATGGACAGTCTGACCCCGTAAGATCACTATATTTGATTAAAGATGTTTAATGTATCTCATTGCTAAAAAAGTATGAGCTCTATTTCAATCTGTATATCATCTTGTATTTCTTTCAAAGAAACCAGTTTGATTCTACATAATACATTACCAACATACATGGTCCAACTTCTGCTTTTGTGTCTATAGTCTTTTTGTAAAAGATTCTAGCTATATTCAAAATAAAGGAAAAGAAAATAACCTGCTTTAGTTATTATGTTACAAGTAGACAGAGTTCTAATAAGAGCTCTGGAGTGCTGTACTGTCTCTCCATAATTTACCCTTATGTAATATTATTGTCATTTTTAAGCTAAGCATGCTTGTTCTGTCTGTCTTCCACATGGATATTTGTTTTGTCTAATGCTATGAGTGTAACTTAAAACTTTGAACATGTAGGTTTTATTCTATTAGCCTCTGGCACACTGCTAAGTCATTATTTTGCTGTACCAAAGTTCTAGTGGCTTCAGAAATCATAACATTCGATGATTTTTGTAGTGTCTGGGTGTGAATATCATGGCTGAGTTCAGTAATCATTTCTGCACATTTTTCAAATAAAATTGCATTTTTATCAATGGTCTTATGTACTAAGAGCAACTTTATGTCTGTGCTGAAGTCAGATGGGTGGCAGTTGTTACCCTGAAATCAGTGTAAGAAGAACTTGCATCCCAGTAAGAATGGAATCCATTCAGATCTAGGAAGAAAGAACAGCTATGGACTGAAGTCAAGCGATTTTTCCTTCTGTCCCTAAGGCTTCTCATTAATTATTTAAGGACAGTTTTGCTAGTGAAATCTTCTAATAATATTGAATGGTAGATTTATTAAAATTAGCAATTGATATATTGAAGTATTATATGGGATGTGAGCACTACCACATATTATAAGCATTCTTCATGCCAAATCACTGCACAGGTGGGAGGCTCTCCCTGGGTCACAGATTGGTAAAAGCCTGGTAATTAAGGCCAATTCCAAACCACAGCCCTATAGCTTCCTTTAGAAATGTTCATTTGTAGAGGCTGCCTTGTTCCCAGAGTGGATCTACTTCCATATGCTACTTAGATGAGATCTGCCAAGATAATGATGAGTTTTTAATTTAAAGATAAACAACTCTTCCAGCAGACCCAAATAAATCCTTGGCTCCATTTTTTTCAATGTTCCTCCCTGGTGTCTGTAGTGCTGTTATTTCCAGACAGAATCTTTGCCATTGGGTTTGTCCTAGGGGCTTGACTACTAAGGGTTTGTTCACTCTGATGCCTTTATGGGAGTTTTAGAAGTCATATCATAGTCTCATATTGAAGATAGACAGAGACAGAGAAAACCCTGGTATTTGCTGTCTTCAATGACAAGATCCCCCCACCTCTCTCTCTCTCCTCTCTCTCTCCCCTCTCTCTCTTTCTCTCTCCTTCTCTCCTCTCTCTTCTCTTTTCTCTCTCTCCTCTCTCTCTCTTTCTCTCTCCCTCTCTCCTCTCTTTCCCCCCCCTCCTCTCTCTCCCTGCTTGTCCTGCTGGTCCTGGGGCTTGAACTCTGGGCCTGGGCACAGTCCCTGAGCTGCTTTCACTCGAGGCTAGTTCTCTAGCACTGGAGCCACAACACTACTTCCATCTTTTTCTGTGATTAATTGGAGATAAGAGTCTCATGGATTTTCCTGACCCAGCTGGCTTCAAATTGTGATCCTCAGATCTCAGCCACATAACTAGCTAGGATTTCAGGCATAAGCCACCGGTGCCTGGCTCAATGACAAGATTTCTGTTTTTAATGTAATTATAGGATTTTTGTATGTGAGGTGTATTTTGCAAGGCATGCACTTTACCGCTGAGCTACCTTCCCAGACCATGAGGTGTATTTTGCTATTCACAGTTTTATCAGGTAGAATTTCACTTCTAATATGGATGGCTACTTGTGGAGGGGGAAAAGAACTATTAAAAGAATGTGAGCATTTCTGTTCTATTAGAAATTCACGTAAGTGCCTTGCATGGTGGCTTAGAACTCTAACATGTTCTGCTAAAAGTTTTAAGAAGCCCTAGGAAGCTTGTGAGATAGCAATCAGATATTTGGAAGGATCCTAGCATAGCTTTAGACCCTGAAAGATGAGACATTGTTTTTTTTTTTTTTTTAAATCAAATGGCTAAAAAGAAAAAGAGGAAAAGGAGGAGGAGAGGGAGGCAGAGAAAGAAGAGGAAAGCTACAAGATTCCAAGAGGAACCAAGGGGACTGATGCCCCAGGGAGAGTCTTGTGTGGGCTGTTGGCTGGTAAGAAAGTGACCTAGCATGGCCAGTAGGAATCCCACTAGTTAAGTGGCACAATGCCTACAGAAGTACACTTCCCTGCTCAGACTCCAGAGCTCTTGACTTCCAAGAGCTGTTCTTAGGTGGTCAAACTGACCACGTAAGGGCAGTTTTCGCTCACTTTCCCTTTCCAGGAAAAACTGACTTTAAATTTCCTAGAGAAATTAACACTGGAAGAATTGGAAGAAAAACTTGCAAATCAAATAAAAGAAGTGACATATGCAAGGGAACTACGATTACATTCAAGAAGATTTAGATGACAATGGAACTCATTCTTTAGTACCTATGCCTGCGGCACTGTGACAAAACACTTGTCCAAGCTGCCCACCTAGGGTCTGTGTGCTTGCGGGATCTGACCTCTGCTTGGCCTTCTCTTTTACCTAGTAACAGTGCCTCTTTCCATCACTTCCTTTGTCTCCTCCCCGTAACCCCTCCTTTCTCCTGTTTGTTTTAAATGCCACTTTAGAATAAAGAGATATTGTTTTAAGTTAATTTCCTATATAAGTTACCAATATGTACATTTTTGGGGGGGAGCGTAGTATGAGTCAGTGGTGAGGCTTGAACATAGACCCTGACTGCTATCAATGAGTGGTTTTGCTCAAGGATACAGCTCTACCAATTTGAGCCACTTACAGTTTCCTGGTGGTTAATTGGAGATTACAGTCTCATAGACTTTCCTGCCTGGGCTGGCTTTGAACCACAATCTTCAGATCTCAGCCTCCTGAGTAACTAGGATTGTAGGCCCAAGCTGCAAATGCCCTCCTTACTAGCTGTTAAGTTACTATCCATTTAAATGTGCAACCAACCACTGTCGCCCTTGGTAACTTTCCCTGTAGTCAGCTTTTTTCTTCACAACTATTCCCATATCTTTCTGACTTTACTATCTGGTCCCCAGAACACCAGAATGCATGTTTTTGCTTTAACATTGTGTGTGTGTGTGCTGGGTTTTATTTTGTTTTGTTTTCATGTGTTTCTGGTGTTAAAGATCAAACCCAGTGCTTCATGCATGGTAGCAAGTACTCTACCACTGAGCCACACCCCATACCCTATCCCTGCTAGAATGCATTTATATGATGGTAGAGATGCTTTGTCATTTTCCCCTGCTCCTTCCTTTCTCCTCTACTTCTGGTGTTTAGCCGAGGCTAGACTCCTGACATCTAGAATTGACCTAGCAATGAGGAGGTATTTTGGTATAATATATAACCTGGTATAGTCTTTCCCTTCTTCTTTTCAGATGATTTTATTTAAATAAAACAACATCGCACACATTTAGGTTAAGGAGAAGGGGAAGGAGGCATTCATCATCAGTATGGCGCTTTTTCAGTTCTGGGTGGATTGGACTTACTTGGGTAGTAATGAAGATTTTGTATTTAGTTGTAGATCAGAGATAAAGCCAGGAATTCAAAGGAGAAAATACAAAAATATGAAAAATATGTATGTATGTATTTCAATAAGTACTGATGATTTTTTTCTGACTCCTAGGAAGACTTTAAATGATTAACACCAGTTAAGCGAGATCATTCCAAAATCTCAGATTTATTACAGTCCAGTGTAATTCATGAGGTATAAGAAGATGTTGCATAATCCCCAAATGAAGATCAATTCTCTTGGTATACTGTAAAGGCTTGAAGCAAAATTCACGTTCCTAGCTTCCTTACAAATGTACCTGAAATTGTATTACAAAGATGTCCTCAACATAGCATGAAGTCATGAAAAATAGAAGTAAAATGCATAGATTCTTAGCAGAGAAGATTGTCTTTAGAGATCTTGTGGTGGTAGGTTCATGTGGTGACATGAACTCATTTCATTAATCTTTGATTTTTGTCAGCAAATCTGATCTCTGGCTAGCATTGGCAGGATAACACAGAGAGCTATCAAGAAGGTGTCTTGTTAAAGTAGCAAGAGAGGAGGCATATTTACAATTGGGGATATATGTCAGAACACCAAGTGAACAGGCAGAACCAGCTCAAAAGCTGCAGATCCTTGTTCACCATGAGAAGTTGGGGAAATTCCTTTGCTAACTCAATATCTCTTCCTGTGTAAAACACAAATAGCAATGTGACCTGCTCTCAAAGATGGGGAACCTTTCTTCTGCCAAAGACTCTTAAGACAGTAATAACATTATAGGCCACACAAAATCATCTGTACCAGCAGATGATATGCAGGCAGATGACACAAAGTACCTCATACATTTGTGCTTTCACAAACCAAATCATGTCTCAAGCTTTCTATATGGCCTGAGGAATGGACATTCTTCAGCCCTGTGAGAGGAACATGAAAGAAATTAATAAAGTGCTTAGAATTGTTCCAGCATAGGATCATTATGCCCTACACATTATTAAATAATTATACCTTAAAAACTCACAAGCAATGCTGAGTGAGTGCTGCTAGCTCCCATATACGATCCTAACTATTCAGAAAGCTGAGATCTGAAAATCCTGATTCAAAGCAAATCCATGCTGAAAGGTCTCTAAGATTCTTATCTCCAGTTAACCAGCAAAAAGTGAGAATTGGAAGTGTGACTCAGGTAGTAGAGCACCATCCTAAAGAGAAAAAGCGAAAGCAAGAGTGCGAAGTTCAGAGTTCAAACCCTAGTACCACCACCAAAAAAAAGAGAAAGTTTGCCAGAACACAGAGTTACAGTACTTGGTGAATGTACAAATATAGTATTTCACCGTATTGTATATATACCTTTACACATTTCCTAGATAATACTGATATTTCACATTCTGTATTGAAAAGCTGGTAACATCTTTCCTGAGAAAAATATGGTGACCAAAGGCACAAAGGGAATTCTTTTCTGAGGGTGAATAAAGCCTCTCCTTATTTACTTCATTGAAATTGTGTTCTTCCAGTTTGTTTGCATTTCCACCAGTCAGAGTTTGGTTTTACTTGTAGCAATAACACACTCTATTTGTAATGAAAACAAGATCCCAAATCTAAGCACACTTTAACTCAAGCCCCAAACATGCCATTCAAACTTAGGAATCGAGGTTCCTTGTGGATGTGGATAGTAGCCTCTATTCCTTTCAACTGTACAGAATCCATTATTTTTTTTATGGAAGTACCTGCTGACTGCCTTACATTCAATCTTTCCTCCCACATTATTTTACTTAGATTATATTAATGAACAGCAAGAAAATATTTGTCACGAAGATAAGAGCACACTCCCTGCTGTCTTACATGTATGGTGTTAGCCTCCAACAAAAATGTTCATTTTTACCACCAAATAACCAAAGAACAATGACATTCTAGGGTAGGGAGAGGAGATCATGATTTTCAATATGGAAGACACTATGGGTTGGAGGAACTAGGTTTCATGGACCTCTTGCTTGTCTCCCCATAATTCAGTAGATAACAACCATCCCACTAACAACAAACAGGTTAAGAGAAGGTGAAATTACACATGGTAAGAACTGTTTCATATCTAAAAGTCAATCTTACAATATAGCATTTATTCATATATAATTATATATCCATGTGTCCATATATATATATATATATATATATATATATATATATATATATATTGCATTGTTCCCAGTATACATAAAACATTACTATCCAAAGGGTGAAGATGAAAACCTTATGTTTCTTGATCATGAAACAAAAAATAAGACACAGATTTCCTTAAGTTAAAAATGGAATTGACTTTCCCTTATGGGAAATCACCTGGTTTCTTAGTGTGTTTAGTAAGTTCTAAAGAAAGAATTCTTTCACTCAAATACACATTTGTTTGAAATTCTGGAATGTTGCCTTCCTGCTGAGTTTTGATGTATAATAAAGTCCATATGAACACTGACATGTCGCCATTTTAACATGAAAGGAATAAATAAGATCCACATAGTCTCTCTCAAGCTGATCTTTATCCAGCCAGTTCATTTCCGTAGCCTAATCAACATCAAATAGGGAGACGTGTCTTCAGTCTTCAATTCACTGCAGGAAACACAAGTATCAAAATTCAGCAGATCAGATTTTAGTGGTTCCATGGCTGTTCCACCACCAAAATCACCTCCATATCCACCATATTGCCATCCCTCAACCAACTGCTTTGATCTAAGAAATGGACACTAATCGATAAACCCAGGTCAGTTTTTCCATGAGACATAGTAGAACCATGCTGAAGAAAGCATTTAACCTATGAAAATGTAGCTAAGTTGATAGGACAAGGTGTTGGGGCGGGGGCAGAGAAAGAGAGTTTGAGCTTTGGTTTGCTTTTCCACTCAGTGGAAAAACACATCGGAATAAAATTGAAGATGAGAAAACACTTGTTCCCTCATGATGTTTTAGCTTTATGGGTTTCTCATAGCCTGAACTTCTTTTCTGACACAGTTAGAATCTAAACTATTCATGTATCTACATATGCATATTCTATGTATATATATATGCCATATATTTATGTAAATATAAGAATATAGTTTCTAATCTCAATCACTTCCAGTATTCAATACAAAAGAAAGTATTTGATTTGGGAAGGGGAAGGGAAAAAACAAATTGTTTAAATAGGGATACAGGTGGACCCATTGCAGCAATGAGATGTACAAGACGCTGTATCGAAAAATGAACTTTACAATTTAGGAAAGTGGCCGGGGCGGGGGGGGGGGGGGGGGTGGAGTGTAGTTGAGAAGGTGGGAGGGAAAGGATGGTAGGGGAAAAACAAAGGAAGAGGCAATAATGTTTGATAAGAAATGTACTTATTACTTTGCTCATGTAACTGTTCCACAATAAAAAACTTATTTTAAAAAAAGAAAGCATTTTAGCAAGAAAAGAAAAGAAAAAAACTTGTTCTACAGCACAAAACTATATTTCGGGAATAATTCAATCACTGCTTTTACTGAGGATTGAACCGAGAGCTTTGTATGTGCTGGGCAAGTATTCAACTCTCTTCCATGACCCCAGCCATTTTATTTGTATCTTGAGATTCTCTCTTGTCTCTGCCTCCTGAGTAGCTGGGATTACAGGCATATGACTTTCTTAATCACTACTTTTATACTGCATCTGATAGAGTTATCATTCATACTTTACTACTCCAAAGTAATGGAGTTAGGATTCGACAGTATACTGATGAGTCTAGGCTAACCTAACCAGTTTGCCCCTGAGCCATGCTTTACCTTGCCAATGAGAGATGTATCTTTATGTCCTAACATAAGATCAGACAAAGGAGAGATAGAGTCAGTCCAGTTTTGCCATTGCAAGTAGGAAATTTCCTCCATTTGGCCTTTTTTGCAAGTCATAGGGACAAGATAAAGATCTTTTAAGCACTAGACTATAACTGTTAATTAAGGGCAGCTTAGACAAACTGGTCAATGAAACCATTCTCTTGAGCACATCTCTCTATCAGCCAGACACACACCATTCAGTGCTGGAGAGGTTACAGTGTAAATGCAGACATTTATTCATCTACACCAGTTCAATTTCCTTCAGGGTCAAAGCCACTGAGTCTAGCCTGCCTCACCATGCTTTGGACACAAGTATCTTTATGGGAGGAAGCAAAGACTTTATTTCCAGGACATTCTTTCTTTTAATTTTATTTTATTGTAAAGATGCTGTACAGAGAGGTTACAGTTACACAAGTAAGTTAACGAGTACATGTCTTGTGGAGCATTGCTACCTCCTTTTCTCCTACTATCCCTTCCCTTGACCTTCCAAGCAAAGTCCCTTAAGTCTTTGTCATTTCCCACACTGAAATGCAAGCATCTCACCATTTCTTCGGAAACTTTTCGGGGATTAATTGTTTTACTGTGTGTGTGTGTGTGTGTGTGTGTGTGTGTGGTGTGTGTGTGTGTATATATATATATATAATATATGTTATATACATTATATATATATATATACCTGTACCTGGGCTTGAATTCATGGAATGGGCATTATCCCTTAGCAACTTAAAGGCTGACTCTCTACCACTTGAGCCACAGTGCCACTTCCAGAATTTTGGAGATAAAGAGTCTCATAGATTTTCTTGCTTGGGCTTGCTTTGAACCAAGATCCTCAGATACCAGCCTTTTGAGTAGCTAGGATTACAAGCATGAACCACCAGAACTAAGCTAACTTTCTTTTTCTTGTTTAGAAGTTGTGATGCTAGTGGCCACAAAGTTGAAAACTTAGCACCTGGAAGCTCAAAGATTTAAGAGGACTTGAAACCGTTATGATTGGTTCCATCTCTAGTCTGTAATTATATATATCATTAGCAAAGTGAAACATTGTTGCAAAGAGTTTTAAAGAGGGAGAGGAATCTGTCTGAATTCCTAGACTGATGTTAATCACAGTGAGTCTGATTTTCCACCTCAGGCACTGTGTTGAAAAGTTTCAGAAAATGAGATTCTGCCCTACAGGGACCAGACAGGGAAATTCAGAAGCTGCTAGAACAGGAAGTTTTTAATCACTTTTTAAATGATACATGTAATTGCAGGCTATGTTTCATTTAAGTGATAATTGTGTAGAATTTATGCAAATGACACTTGCGCCCAGATTCAGATTCAGATTCAGCCAACAACAAAGAGTAAGCACTAAAAAATTTGACTTCCATAGTTTTACCCATCATTTCAGTTGCTTTCTAAGATCATGATCATTGCTTGAAATCATTCATGACTGCATAACTGTTAATGATAGTTGTTCTTCTCAATGCAGAAAAGAAAAATTAATACAAGGTATTAGTCTCATCTTGGTGATATTTATTTTCAAAGATGATACAGAAATTTCAGTAAATACAAGCAACTTATAATTAAAATTTCCATCAATGATATAAAACCTAGACCACAAGATGTGGGACAATTCAGGAGATGGCATGCAATGATTTGAAATAGTGCTGAAGTCTAGAATCGGCAAAGGGAAAGTGTATCAAAAGTTATCCATTCATTTATTCAGCAAGTACTTATAACATGCCAGGTTTCAGTGATTTCATAATGAGCAAGATTAACACAGTTTTGAACAGGAACTGATAGACAGACAATAAGCAAATGAATACAGACATATTAACAAATTGGAGAAATTTACAAGTGGATTTCACATCAACCTTATTTAACAGAGCCCGTGAAGATGGGGGAAAGACTTTACCTTGTAGAGACCGATTTAGATGCTTTTGTCCTAGGCATTTCAGGCCAAAGTGCCACCTTGGTTTTTAGTTCTTTGTTCTACAATTAACAAAAAAGAAGTGTAGCAATCAGATAGCTAACACAGATTAGTCCTATCTTTAATATTTCTGCTCAACACACTACCTGCCTCATGCCTTTGTACAAAGTTTGCTGAAACCATTCTGTTAGAAAACAGGAAAAAGCTAGTTAAGAGTCACTAAATAGCTCCAAAGAAACAAATACAGCATGAAAATGTGTAATATACCAAAGGATTAAAATATGAGTATGCTTCCATCAAGGGCTAATGGTTCATGATTGTAATCTTAGCTACTCAGGAGACTGAAATCTGAGGATTGTAGGTCAAAGTCAGCCCAGGAAGGAAAGTTCATAGGAATCGTCTTCAGGTGACCATCAAAAAGGGAGAATTGAGGATGTGACTCAGACTTGAGTGAAAAAGCTAAGGGACAGTGCCCAGGCCCTGAGTTCAAGGTCCAGTATTGGCTCATAGTACCAAAAAAATGCTGTTCTGACTTAAACTCTGAAATTCAACAGCTGACCTATCTATGTTTGCTTTTACAGAAATATATATATATATATATATATATATATTACAGACACCTATATATACAAAACAAATATATGAAAATAAACAAATATATGAAAATAAGCATATTAAAGGATTTCATCAGAGATACCCACTACACTGATTATAAAAGTGTCATTTTTGCACAATCTCATGATTATAAACCCCTTCATACCATCTCTTCTTTATAGTCCATGGTATATATTAGCCTCAGTTTTCTCCTTAAGTTTTATATTATCCACCTGGGTACTAAAGGTAAATGACACATACATGGCTTGCCAATTTAGTTAAGGAAAAAAATACTATCTGATCATAATATTCGAATTCTGTAAGGATGCTGTAATTCTAGGAAATGACGGAATGGCCAGTAATAACAGTTCAGAGAATAAGTTCTCAGTTAAAAAAGAATATCTTAGCATAATCACTCACTAGGCTAAGTGATTTGATGTAGGGTTTCTTAAACTCTCTGTACCTAGTTTCTTTGTATGTCAAATACACTAGATAAATAAACTCCTGATTTCTACTTCAACTTCCATGCTGTTGCATTTCATTCAGCAGATTAGGACATTTATTTATTTATTTATTTATTTATTTATTTATTTATTTATTTATTTACCAGCTAAGAACTGAATTCAGGGCTTGGGTGCTTTCTTTTAACTCTTTCTCTCAAGGATGGTACTCTACCACTTAAGCCATAACTTCTGGCTTTTTGGTGGTTAATTGGAGATAAGAACCTCGAGGACTTTCTTTCCAGCACTGGCTTTAAACCACAATCCGCAGGCCTCAGTCCCCCTGGTAGCTAGGAGGATGACAAGTGTGAACCTCTGGAGCATGGCGGTCTTGATTGAAAGCTCATTCTAAGCAGAACAGCCACATGCATGGATTGTATTACAAAACCGTTCTGAAAAATTACAACTCATTGGCAAGAATACATCTGCCATGTAGATTCTATTATTGACCCAGTCTCCCAAAAGAATGTAAATTTTGCATATTTAATATTTCATTTGCCATAATCTAAGAATTAAACTTCAAGAATCATGATAATTATACAATGTTGAATAATCCTCCAAGCTTAGAAAATGGAATAATTTCAAAAAATGCCTTTTCATTGGAGCAGATAGAGAAGAAATTTGAAATGCATGAACTGTAACATACACATTTCCAAAGATATGACAGTAAGAAGAAAGTAAATGATTTAGGTAAAGTAAAACAAGAATGTTCTGCTTAATTTTAAGAAATTTAAAAGACTTAAAAATATGTAAAGAGCTATGTGAGTTTATTTCAGTCTCTATTTGGAGGGAAAAACAAAACAGAAAACAGCTAAGATAGAATAAAGCACTACAGAGGAGAAAAAAAATCCCATGACTTTAAAAACTAAGATTAAAATAGAAATAGCTGAATTAGTAATGGTAGTAATAAATGAAATAAATAAAACTAATTGTGCAAATTTGGTATCAGAGCTATACATTTCTAGATATAGTATAAATATGTATGTACACATGTGTTTTGCACATGTACTTACACACACACATATACATCATCCAGATAAGTAGAGGCTGCACTGTGCTTGGGAGAAGTCATATGCTTTAAAGTCAAGCATAGTAGTCTGCCACCTACTACTGAGTGATTTCAAACAAGTTTCTTCATTTCTCTGAATCCCACGTTTATCAGTTGCAAAATTTAATAAATATTTTTTCCTGGAGTCACTTTGAAGATTATAAAAAGGAAGCATGTAGCTTGCCTAAAAAATGAGGCAAATAATTTTCATTATGGATGAGACAGTGATAGGGTCTTCATGGTTTAGAAAGCTGATATGTTTCAGAGCCCAGAACAATAGTAAAAATGATGTATCATAAAAAGATGCCAAATCAAAAATAACCTCCCCAATTAAAGTGAATTATAGATACATAATAATTAAAATATGTTGCTGGAGCCAAAAATAGGTCGATACATCATTGTGATAATCTCCAACTGAGAATTCAGTCTAGAATATGTGCGTGTCTCAAGTTCATCAATTAACCAGTAAATTCTAGGATTCAGGGCTTATTTCTATTTTGTTGCAGCATTATTCTGAACTTAGTGTTTGCATAGTAGTGTGTACTCAATAAGCCCTTGTAGAATTAATTATGCAACTCATGTAGAAATCAAACTAATAAAATCAGGTGCAGATCCCAATAGAAATACGGTTTTACATCAATTACAGGTTCACATCTGTAATCCTAGCTACTCAGGCGTCTAAGATCTGAAGACCAAGGCTTGAAGCCAGTCTGGCAGACAAATCCAAGAGGCTCCCGTCACCAGTGATCCAGCAAAAAAGCTAGCAGTGGATCTGTGGCTCAAGCAGTAGAGCGCAGCATTGAGTGAAAAAGCAAAGTATGAGGTCCAAAATTCAATCTCTAGAACCAGCACACACACACACACACACACACACACACACACACACACACACACACACACACTCTTACATAACCATTCTTTGTGACTGTTCATGGATGGTTATTTGACTTTTTGTTGTTGTAGTTGTTGTTGTTGGTGGTGGTGGTGGTCATGGGGCTTGAATTCAGAGCCTGGGTGCTGTCCTTGAGCTCTTTCATTCAAAAGCTAGCACTCTACCACTGAGAGCCACAGTTCCACTTCCAGATGGTAATTTTGAAAGTGACTTTCTAATTACTTATCTCTTTGTCTTAACTATGATGGAATGAATAAATAATCATGATCTCTTAAATAATCTATAAGAAATACATGTAACAATGTGAATGTAATAGATACATCAACTAGCTAGAGTATAAAGTAGGTAGATTGCATAACTGCATATGTAATAGTAATAAAAACAATTTTTAAAATCAAAGAACACTTGCCAAAAGACTACCAAGCAAGAAAGAAGGTGAGGGAAGCTTTTGCAGAGCATTTCTGAGGAGGAAGTGGTGCCAAGCTGCTGTGAATCACTGAACCTGGAGGTTCCTGACAGAACTGAATCAGCCATCACTTGGCAGGTGAAGGAACGCTCATTTTGAGCCAAGAGGACCAGTCCGTGCATTTTTGTTCATGCAGAACTATGGGTAATAAATCAATCCAACAGTCCCACCCGCCCTGGAGATGGGGTACCTTAGGAGACATTCAGTGAGGTCTCCACTCCAGAACAAGAAGAGAACAGTGGTTCTCATGGAGACAGAAATGGGAATGGAGCTAGAAATCTTAACATGTAAAAAAAAAAATCTTCACAGCCGTTTCTAAGTTATTTTGTGTTTTCTTCTTCTGATTGGGTGGGCGGAGATAAAATGGTGACCCTGACCCAGGGGAACTATCATGATGCTCCTTTCTAATCTATTCTGAGGAGAGAAAGTTCCGAAAGCTGAGCAGTTTCCACAGAGAATCAGAGAATCTCTGCGGTCCCACTGGCAGGTGGACACAAAGCGGGAGATGAAACTACTGAGAGATAAAGCAGGAAACGAGTTCAGCTGCTGGCAGCTGGAGAGGAGCCAGGTGACAGAGACAAGTGGGTAGCATAGCAAGAAGCAGAGCTGGAGGCTGAGGCCCTCGGGGTCCTCTGAGGGGCCTCCTCCTAGCAGCGGCTTTCTCATTCCTCCTGTGAGATGGGGCTGGAGGGCCTCTGAAAGCCAGAAGTGGGGTGAAGCTGAGGAAGCATGTCTCACCACTCCTATCACAGACAACTGGAAAGTATAAGGTTTAACACAAGGCAAAGCACGGTGTTTTGAGCAGGCTTCTGGATGTAGGCAAGGCCTGTGGCAAGGCTTAGGAGCATGGATGTGGGTGAAGACAGAGGAACACGAAGCCATCTTGGGCAGGAGGAAGGAAGCCTGGCAATCTAGAGAGGATGGAATTTTTTTGTACAACTGTAGCCCTGACCAAGCAGTCATTACAGTTTATAGAGAGCCATTGCCTGTGATACTAATACGTCAAGTGTTCTGGAAAATGTGAACGAATTCTAGTAATTATTTAGTATTTATTTAATAGATAATGTTACCATAAATAACTTGACTATACAATATGATTAGTAATGTAACAATAATTTCCCAATTATTACATTTTCATAATTATTATAGTTGCCCTCGATCTATAATTTCTTACACATAGAAGATGCACGCATTTACAAAGACACCTGTGTAGGCTCACACACGTGCATATACTTACCTAGTCAAGAAATCACACACAAACACATGTGGCATAATGTTACATGTTCACACCTTCACAATCATAAACACACATTCACATACAACCTCCTATACACACACACACGCACACACACAGATTCCTTTCTTACCTGGGCTTCAAGTACACTGACTTTTTCTTGCAGACGTTCAATTCTTTTATCTTGTTCCTTTAAGTTATTCTTTAATCCTTCCATCTAAGAATTAGGAAACACAGTTGGAAAACTCTTGTCAGACCGCAGGGAAAGGTTACTTTTTACTTAGAAATCGTACGGCTTTCCGTGGTCAGACGATGTTCATCAAATAGAAACATGAAATCCCACAGCCGGCTCAGCAGGCTACAGAAAAATCACAGGACAAATTGGCACCTGAGGTGGAAAACACTCAGCCTGTGCCATTGCACATTTGAATCTCTAGAGAACCTGTTTACACCAGATTCGGCAGGCATGCCTGGTATAGAAAGAGGCACTGGCCATCTCCTGCCTGTCCTCCTGTATGTACCTTCTAGGGACATAGGACAAGGCCCAGAATGCAGAGTCTCACTGAGATGAGAGCACTGTCACCCAGCCACAGGATAATCAAAGGCCACAGGGAACACAGAGGTCGGGTGATGAGGGGCAGAAGGTGTGGGGAGAGAAGGCATCTGTGGATTCAAAAGCCAGCTCTGCCACCGGCAGCTCCCCCCTGAACTGCATTCTATTTCCCTCTCCTCATTGGGGGCCGTGGGAAGCCCCAAGGTCCCGCCTAGTCTTTGAATCCTTCTACTGAACTTTTCTGGACCTTTGGTGAAGCCATAACCAGTTACGTACAAATAGTGCATTTATACCAGGAAGGCATTAGAATTATTTGGGGAGACACCTTTGAAAACAAGTATTAGGTAATGAAATCATTAGGTGTGATTTTAAATCCATATCTTGAGCTGTGTGTTATGTTACGTGCCTATAAAACCCAATACTTGTGGCTCATGTGAGGTGTGTAGATAACGTGTCTAACAAGTGCAAAGTCTTGAATTCACATTCTAGTAGCACCACACACACACACACACACACACACATACACACACACATACACACACACACACACACACACACACACACACACACACACACACAGAGGCAGATATAATGGCTGGTTGCTACCACATTATTTCTTCCTTCTCACCTGCTAGAATGTTCCTAGAGAATAATCAGACTATTTCCCATTCTAAAACAACTTCTACATAAATCTAGTATTTATAATGGCATTAAAAACAGATAACAATTTCTTACCCAGACTGGAAAAAAAAATCAGAATTTCTTGGGCTACAAAATATTCTAAATAACAGTGAACAGTTTATGAGTAGAAAAACATACATTTTAAAAAATCACTGAAATGGCTAAAAAGTCATTAAATACAACTTCCCAAATATCTTCTCTGGGAACCTGACGGTGTAATAAATTAACGAAGGCATAAAAACCAAAAGGACATGTCAGCAGGGAAAGAAGTCTGGGCTTCAGAAATCCAGACAAGCCACACCAGTCGCTCACACTTGGTCCTCACACTGCAAACAAACAAATCATCTATCGGAGTGCATCAATTGGTTTAGTCTGACCTCCTGGATGACGCTGCGTAGGTTCTGATGCTGAGAATGAATCACAAACTGCAAATGAGAGATCTGCTCCTGGAGGATGGAAATCTCCATCTGAAGATCCTGGCAACTGAGCATACAAAGGAAAAGAGAGTGGGGGCGGGGTTGCTAACGTGTTCTGCAGCTCTTTCTCTTGCCCATGCTGCCAGCCCAGCCTCACACACCCTGCGCTACAGAGCACTGTGTGGTAAGACCCAGGACCCCACTGATATCACCATACATGGGTGAGGAGCAGCCTGTAATCTGCTCTGATAGGAGCTAGAATCGGTAGCAGTTCAAGTCCACAAAGCTCTTTTCTGGCCATTCTTGACTTCCTCCAGCAGGTAGCCCAGTCAAGTTGAATTGAAACAGGGCAAGCACTCATCTAAACCCTCTGACTTATGAGCACCCCATCAAAACTCACAGTTAATTACATGTAGATAGAGGGTCAGAATATGGAAGCAGAAATGCATAATGTATATAACACTCATAAACCAACTTCCAGTGATGTCATTTTAGTATATGTTGTAGGTTGTCACTTTGTTACTTTCTCTTTTATTTTATTTTTTTTAAAGAGTCCTATCTTTGGAAAATATATTACTTATAAAAAGAGATGGTAGGACAGGGATGGTAAGGGGAAACAAAGGAGGAGGCAACAATGCTTGATAAGAAATGTACTCATTAAGCTGGGCGCTGGTGGCTCACACCTGTAATCCTAGTTACTCAGGAGGCTGACATCTGAGGATCGTGGTTCAAAGCCATTCCAGGCAGGAAAGTCCATGAGACTCTTATCTCCAATAAGCCACTAGAAAACTGGAATAGGCACTGTGGCTCAAGCCATAGAACACTTGCCTTGAGCTGAAGAGCTCAGGGACAGCCCCAAAGCCCCATAGTTCAAGCCCCATGTCCAACAAAATGAAGAAAGAAAGAAAGAAAGAAAGAAAGAAAGAAAGAAAGAAAGAAAGAAAGAAAGAAAGAAAGAAAGAAAGAAAGAAAGAAAAAGAAAGAAAGAAAGAAAGAAAAAGAAAGAAAGAAAGAAAGAAAGAAAGAAAGAAAGAAAGAAAGAAAGAAAGAAATGTACTCATTACTTTGCTCATTTAATTGTAACCCCTCTGTACGGTATTTTCACGATAAAAAAACTTATTAATAAAAAAAAGAAATAGGGCAAAGAAACTAAACTTCCGCTAAGTTGTTTTATTTTATTTTTATTTTTTGGCAGTTGTAGGGTCTGAACTCAGGACCTTGTGTTTGTTAAGCAAGCATTCTAACCATTGAATCACTCAGCCAATCCTTTTCTGGTTGGTCATTTTCAAGTTTATGGTTTCACTTTATGCCAGCCCAGACTGGACTGTGATCCTCCTATGGGTCCTTTCCTTTGGAAATGGGATGATGGATATGTACCACTGACCCATAGCTTAGGGTGGCAGGTATGCAGTATTGCACTCAGCTATTGGCTGAGAAGCAGTATCATGAACTTTTATGGCTTTTAATCTCAACCTCTGATCTTTACCTCCCAAGTAATTAGGATTGCAGGCCTGAGCTATGGCACCAGGCTCAGTGAATATTTTTTTTAGTTGCCTAAATCATGATGAGTCAAGCTTACATGTAGATTATTCCTACTTTTCCAAAGCTCTCTTTTCGTAACTTGAATTGATCTTTGGCCTATTTCTCTTTTGTGCCATTAGTAATGGGAGCATGTTTGTGGGGGACGGATCACCAAGCTCTGGAAAGTACTATGATCTTACAAAGCTACCTGCAGCTCCAAGCTTCAGCTTCAGAGATATAATTCCTGACTTGGCTACTAATTGAGATCAGTCTGTTGACCTGAGGATATAAAGTGAATGACATTTTCTTTCTTTTCTTTCCCCTTGCCCTCAACAAAATATGTGCAACTTTCCTGTCATATTTAACGTATAGCAATTACACAAAAAACTTTCACCATCGTATTTCACACTGCACCAAATCTGATTGACTTTCCCAATTGTTCTTTCTTTTAAAAATGAATGAATGAAAGAAAAAAAGCCCTAACATTTCCAATTAAAATCAACAGATGGGCTGTAATCCCATCACTAAGCATATATCCAAAATATGCATTAAGAGACAGATAAAACGTGTTCATGGAGGCATTGTGCGAGCCAAAACCTAGAGACCAACTAATATCCATCCATGATAGAATGAAAAGTCAGACACACTCACACACATACAACAGAAGTGCAGAAAACTATGGCACCATGAATAAACCCCTCAAACATAAGAAGGAGGAAAAGACAAGCGATACATACAAATGCGACAGTCTAAACTAAGGAAAAGCCAGCTAGTATGTTAAGGGGCACATAAAGAAAAGTATTACAATAAAGGTCTGAACAACAGGTCCTTTATGCTTCTTTATGCTTGGAAGAAACTTGGCAATATAAGATTCAAGGTCATCCCAGGAAGTGACCTCAGTTTTATTGAGGTCACCAATATTTGCTTCAATAGAATTCATTAAACCATATGTAATATCTATGTTCTATTTGCTCATCATACTTGACATACTTGACATGTTTTTTTCAATTTTGTTTGGGTCGGTTGTAGGGTTTGAACTCTGGGCCTGGGCACTGTCTATCAGCTGTTTAGCTCAAGGTTAGCCCTCTACCACTTGAGCCACAGCTCCACTTCAGGTTTTCTGGTGGTTTATTGGAGATAAGAGTCTCACAGGCTTTCCTGCTGGCTGGCTTTGAACCATGATCCTCTGATCTCAGCCTCCTGAGTAGCTAGGATTACAGGAGTGAGCCACCAGTGCCCAAGTCAATATTTTTTAAATGGAATAAACATATGGGAGATGCAGGCCAGACAATTTATAGAACTTATTTGTGCATAAATTTTGGAGAACTCCTCATTATCTTTGAAGGTTACTATTTTATACTTTTAGTCAATGAACTTGTACTTTCCCTGTACTGGGGCTTGAACTCAGGTCCTCACACTTATCACCTTTCTTGCTCACAGCTGACTCTCTACCATTTGAGCCATGCTTCCAATCCAGCATTTGCTGATTAACTGAAGATAGAGTTTCGAGATTTCTGCTCAGGCTGGCTTTGAATTGCAATCCTTCAGATCTCAGTTTCCTAAGGAGCTAGGATCAAATATGAGCCACTGGTGCCTGGCTTGAACTTATAACTTTGTAACTGAAAAGCAATCACAATTCAAATACAGACAGAACTTTCACTGTCCATATATAATTTAAAAGGTGTCACATGTGAAATGGGGAGAGCAACGGAAGGGGTGATTCTAGCTGAGAAGCACTGGTCACATGAAGATGTTAAATTGCAACCCTTTCTTATACAACCTTTTGCAGTTTAGAAAATGATGATGATGATGATGATGATGATGATGATGATGATGATGATGATGATGATGATAAACAGTGTGTGATGCTGGGTGCTGGTGGCTCACACCTGTGATCCTAGCTACTCAGGAGGCTGAGATCTGAGGATCACAGTTCAAAACCAGCCCCAGTAGAAAATTCAGTGAAAATCTTATCTCCAATTAGCCCCCTGAAAACTGGAAGTAGCCCTTTGTCTCAAAGTAGTAGAGCACAAACCTGGAGCAAAAAAAAACTCAGGGACACAGCAACCAGGCCCTGAGTTCATGCTCCATGACTTGACAAAACAAAAACAAAACAGAGCAAATATAAGAAACAAATACACTAATGGTAGTGGGAACCTTGTCATTAAAACATTTTAACTGGTTCAAGACAAACAACCAATGCTTTTAGAAAGAAAAAAAAAAGACAGTATTTCTAGACGCATTCAAAAACTCCAGCTTTGGACTTATCTCAATAATACACTGGAGGAGAAGTGTAGGGAAGATTAGATATACAAGGTCTTGGAGAAGAAAGGAAACAAATGCGGGGTTCAAGAAAAGGAAGGGATAAGGGAAGAGGAAAAGAAGGGAAGAGCACACAAAAGGCAGCAGTGCGTGGATTGGGTATGTACATCCTTACAAACCTTCTCACATCTAGACAACTAATTCTTATGGCTAAACCCCACATTCCCCAACCTGACTAGGTTAAGCAACTATCAGATGAAGAAATTATGGAAACAAAATCACAGATCATCAACTCAAACCAAAAGAAAGACTACCGGATCAATCATGACAATCTTTTTCATATTTTTTTTCTAACATGATCCTTCAGAAAGCCCCACCCATAAAGTTCACTCTACATAAATAAAAATTTGAAATGAACTTCATCATGGAGGAGGAACAATAGAGCTAGTCGCAACACAAACGATCTCAGTTTCACTTGTGCGCTAGGCATGAAGGGAAGGTCTATTGAAAAGACTCATTGACAAAAACACAAAAGTGTGGCGGTGGGGGGAGGGATGAAAGCATCTCTGGCATCCTTGATACCAGGTTTATACAGTTTATACTTACGAGTGGTTCAGAATTAACTTCCCACTGGGTCTCTGGGAACGCCAGTGAACTCTCCTCACCGGACCCCTCCCCGCACACCTAATTCCTCAGTTAGATCATTATTATTATTTGATGGGAACTTTGATTCTCTGAAGTTGTATGCTAATTTGTAGATTTCTGTCTGGTGAGGAACCAGAGGCACGTGACTATTACTCTTAAAAATTCTCCCTCCTCCTCCCCTCGCAGCGATATCCTTTTACCCAGGATGGAAGTGTCATCTGGAGACCTCTCCAGGAGAGAGAGGTTGATTTGCAAACCTGTTAGCATATGTAGCATTGGATTTGAGTTGCAGAAGCTTGCTCTCCAATGATAGTTTTCTTTCTAGTAGCGTTCTCTTTTCCTAGAAGAAAAATAACAGACGATTTCTGCATACTATTTTTATGTGGATGTCTAAGGTGCATACATGTGTTTAGTAAGGCATTCTTGCAAACGTGTTCACCAAAAATAAAAAGATGCTCTTTACAAACTTAGAAATGTAAATTGTGTGACAGAGCTCATATCATACTAGCTGTTACAATGTGCCCTGATCAGTCTTGGTCAGATCTTCACCTGTGTGCTTTATAACTAAGTCAACGGTAGGGCCAGAGCCTGTTCACGCCTCCCTACCTGAGCAGTTTGTTCCAGCACTTACACTGAAAAGGAGCAAGTGCCGCTCGAATTCTCCCATCTGCCTCCCCCAGTGCACCCCAAGTGAACATCAGGCTAGCCCCACCTCCTCAGCACAGGCTCTCCCACAGCACCCACCTCTCATACAGTAACCGAGTTATTAGTACCCAGGGACACCACTGCATGCACCTTGCTTCCTCTACCTGCTCTCGTGGCATCTGGCAGAAAGTAGCAGATGCATTTTTAATAAAGGATAAAGGCCACGGTGACTTCCTGATTAGGATCCGGGAGGACCTGTGACACTAACAAAGATTAGCATTCAAATGTCATAATTTTAATTATTAAACCAAACTCTTCCTCCCAAAGGAAAAACAGAGTTGCTCATGAAGACCCAAGTATGGATGGTTGTGTTCATTGTGCGTTTGATGGTGGCATGCAAAAAATAAGGGATGTGAGCAGGGCGCTCGTGCTTATAATCCTAGCTATTCAGGAGGCTGAGATCTGAGGATTGTGGTTCAAACCCAGCCCAGGCAGGAAAGCCCATGAAACCTTTATCTTCAATTAACCACCAGAGAACTGGAAATAGAGTTGTGGCTCAAAGTGGTAGAGAGCACTATCTCTGAGCAAAAAAAAAAAAAAAAAAAAAAAAAAGGCTCAGAGATAGCACTCAGGACCTGAGTTCAAGCTCCATGACTGACAAAAAAAGGGATTTGGAGTTTGGGCTACTGGTTTAATGCTAAGTTGGAGGAAGCAGACTCTTAAATAAGCAGGGTTTGGGATTGGCCCTGTGGATGGAACTCACTGGGGAAAAATGTTTTGAAAACATCTACAATGCTGTTCGGAATCATTTCCTGTGGCATATTATGGGTACTATGTGGGCAGTTCCTTATAGCAGAAGCATAAGAAATAGTACTTTGTGTGTGCATTGATCTGGTTTAGAAATGCTGACCAGGAGTTTAACCTCCCTGGACTTTATGATTGTTAAGAAAATGTCATCAAAAGTTGGAAATAAAAGTCATTTATAGTGTGTGACTTTCATGCTAAATTGGATCATGTTAATCTTCTAGCCCAACCACAACCCAACCAGTATTTAATCCTTTCAGAGAATTGGCTTCAGTTTTACCCTTTTTTTTGTTGTGGTTAAGACTGGGGTTTGAATTCAAGGTTTAAACTCATGCATGCAAACAAGATCTGAACCACCTGAAATACATCTCTTGTTTTGTTTTTTGGCTATTTTTCAGATAGGGTTTTGCATTGGGGCTGGCCTCAGGTGCAGTCTTCTACTTGTGCTTCCCATATAACTGGAATTGTATCCAGATTGCCTGGCTTATTGGTTGAGGAAGTGAGATGGGGGGGGGGGGGGTGTCTCTCTAACGTTTTATCTAGTAAGCCCTTGAACCACAGTCCTCAAGATCTCCACCTTCCAAGTAGTTACAGGAGTGAACCACTGCAGTTGGCCTTAGTTTGCCCATTATTATTATTTGAATAGAGCCCGGACTCTAATCATGTATAGGCTTCTGGCTGATATAAAAGATAATCCCAAAGATTATGTGTAGGTAATGGTATAGTTACTAATAAGAACTAATCTTTAGAGTGGTAACTACTTTTTACATTGAATTCAGTAATCCTAGTTTATATTCCTTCTTCCTTCCAAAATGCCAATAGATAACCAGTTTCCTCACAATACTTTATTTAACCCATCATCACAGTTTTATTGTTTCCTATGTTAGTGAATGGGTTGGACAAAGTGTTTAATGAGTATTTGTATAGTCTCATATTTAACTCTATGGATATCCTTAAAATGAAATGTTGGGATGTTCAGAGATAGCATGTGAGAGGCCAGACTTCTACTCTAGGTGAGAGTTGGACCATAATAGGTAATAATTTAAGTAACCAATTGCTTCATGTCCTATTTGATCTGCCATTTTGTAAGCTGTGTTAACTTAGTCAATGTTTAGTGCATATAGCTTTCTTGACTCATTGAAATTGTCCCAGAGCAACCATAGCTGTGTGCAAATGATTTCTGATGAGGGTCACAGATACACCTAGGCAGCATATACTGGTTCTTGGACTATCAAAGAAATACATCACAGATAGCATATTTTGAATCTGTCTGGGAAGAGAAATTGTGTTTAACAAATACCCTTTCTAATAAATGTACTGTTGATGAATGAGTTTTTGTAATCAGTTTGCAAAGAGACCAGACAATTAAACAAGAAAATGTTCTTACTCTGGCCCCAGGCTCTTCATAGATCTCTGGGAGCACAGAAGATCACACTCTACAGAGAAGCCATTCTCAAGCAGGGGCTTCTGAGCACACACAGCACCTGGCCATAGGCAGCCCTGTGTTCCCTGGCCACATGGCTGAGAGCTCAGAATATCCCTCACGCCTGATCTCAGTGGATACCAATTTCACTCATTAACATCCAAATGACTTGGAACCCAGCGTATCACTTTGATCCAGCCTCCTAGAGGAGAACAACACAGCAAAAAGCACCGTGAACTAGCAGCTGGGGGATTATGGAATGGTGTCTTGTTCACACCATCCTCATCTGGAAAGTAGTCTGTCTCCAAAGTGTCTTTGAACTCTGAATTTCTAATGGAGCTAAATCAATGACACTAGAAAACAAGTATGATGCCACAGAACTGCACTGTTAGCAAAAGGAACATATGCCATATTTACATGCTCGTATTGGGCGTTTTTGCTAGCTGAGCGCCATGTGTACGGAACTGGTTCTCACTGCATTCTTGATTAAAGCGGGACAGATGGTGGGGGTTTTAAGTAATGTGTTCATTACCAGAGCTCAGACCACTAATGGCTACTTACTGGAGCAGGGCCTTGTTCCAATGACTCCTTCTCTGGGGGCCCTCCTCCATCAGAGTGGCATTTGTCAACCTTTGTGACAATGTGTGTTTTTCAGTTTCACTTCCGGGTTGAACTTCTGTCTTGAGACTGTTGATACCCAAAGCTCCAGGTCTCTCCTTCATTCTGCTATGTTCTGTCTACCCAAGAGGCTTCTCGACAGGCTTAAACCATGCTCTTTATACTTCCATTTATTTGCTTATTTCGTTTGCAAATATTGGATGTTGTTATGCTATTTTTTGAACACTAGTACTTGTGTGTGTACATATGTGTGCATGCATGTGTGTGTGAGTGTGTTTGTGCTAACCTTGGGACTTGAACTCAGGGCCTGGACACTGTCCCTGTGCTCTTTTGCTCAAGGCTAGAGCTCTACCACTTCAGCTACAGCTCCACTTCTAGTTTTTGATAGTTAATTGGAGATAAGAGTCTCCTACTTTCCTGCCTTGGGCTGACTTCAAACTACCATCCTCAGATCTCAGTCTCCCTAGTAGCTAGGATTATAGGCATGAGCCATTGGTGCCTGGCTTTACTAATATGTTTTTAAACAAATGTGTGTTTCAACGCTAATTTTTTTTGTAAGTAACACTTCACGTTACTTCTCTACCCCCCAACCCATTCACCTCTACTGTCCAGAAATAGCCTAATAGGATTTTCCCCCCTAGAAATCATTGAGTGAGAACATTCTGGAAAGTTGCTACATGGTCTTGATGAGCCAGAGCATTCTGTCATGGATCACCTGGGAGAGCCTGCAGTTATAGGTCAGTATCAAGGCAGGAGCGAAGCCATCACTTCCTAAGATGTCTGTCCAGAAAGCTCTGATCCCTGAACTCAGCATCCCAGGGACCTCTAGGAGAGCTCTAAGCAAGAAATCTGGGAAATTCCTTGGGCCCCACATAATCCATATACATGCATTATAATCTCCATCAAGAGTGACTATGTCTAGTTTGTTCACAAATACTTCTCTGCCCCCATCTCTGTATGGCACCTAGTAGGTCCTTAAGTGGATTGAAGGAGCAGTCATATAAATATATGCCAGAGCTATGAGAGCAGTTTGTGTCTAGTAGAGATTGTCTAGCGTTACTTACTAGACAATGCCTCAGAAATGATGTCTAGTAGAGGTATGTCTAGGGTTGCTAAGCAATGAAAATTATTTTCCACTGTGTTTTGTTGATATACATAGGTACTAACAGGTGAGCAGTAACCTGACTTGGTGGTGTTAGGATTAAGACAGGTTGATTGTAAATTAAATTCCAAACTGTTTAATCAACTTGTTAGATTAAATAACCCTGTTTTCTCTCTAGGGCTGTCTTCTTCTCTTAAATACCGTTTACTTATTATAAGATGAACACTGGCAAGCCCCCAACCAAATAGCTCAGCTTTTCCAAATCAGCATAATTATCAAGTAGCATCCTGGGATAAACCAATACCCCTGGGATATTATAGTTCAGTGATTTTGCTAGAAAGAAACAGTCAGTGATCCATGGCAAGACCAAGATATGATTTCTGCTGCTGTTATTAGAGCCTGACTAGTTTGGACTTTGTTTAATTTTTTTATTACCTCAAAGAATTTTTATTAAGATTATAAATGGCTCCAAATTCACAGTAGCTATAAAGCTTTAGGCACTACGCTAGAACTTAATAGAAGAGCACTTGACTAGCATGCAAATAAGGCCTTGGGATCAATTCCTAGTAAATCCCCAGAAAAAAAGAATCACAGTCTAAGAAAATATTTTTGCATCTACTCAATGTTTCTTTTGGTAGTAAACTTACATACTATTGACACATGACGCTTCTGAAATGATATTTCTTAAGTGGCATAAACACAGGCAGACAGACTCAAAAAAATTAAAGTTGAAAAGAAAAGAGGTAAATTGGAGAATTAATGCAACAAATACCAAAATGTATCAGGCAAAATTTACTACAAGCTTATATTTGTACCTATTCTCTGTTCAGTCCATTTCCTATTCATTTTGCCACTAAAAAATAATATCACTTCTTTTGTCTGAATCCTAAATTCTAAGTCAAACATAGGTGAATTTATGTGTTTACCTTCTCTATGTATTCAACATGCAGTAACTTAAGGGAAGGGAAGCCAGCATTAATATTTTATAATTTGTATTCTACTATTACTCTTTCCTAAATATATATATTTTGCAAGTTCCAATTTCCATTGACTGGCTCTCTTATTTGTGAGCTATCTGATGCTGACTGTAGCCACTGATTTTTCTAAACCCCAAGTAGTCTCGTATGACCCAAAATGGAGAGATTCTCCATTGATTCTACCATATACAAATGTTCAATTAAAGGAATCCACTCTGCTATTGCACTAGGAAGGCAGATTTTGTCATTTTTTTCCATCATATTTTCATTTATACCCTCACCTAAGACATAGCAGAAATGGAAAGTGACACACACAATACCTCCACAGTACTCACAGAAAAATAATGATCACAATAACTAATCAACTACTATAACAATAATTCACCAAAAACAATAGCACAGGTCACACCAAGTGTTTGAGGAAGAAGCTGGCATGATGGAGGTCCCCTGGGAACGGGAATCGTGCAGGTTCATTCACTTCCATGTCATGTCATTGGATTTCACCTCCCATCTATTCCTGCACTATTCGTTTTCATTCCCAATGGTTTCCTACCAGGAAGAATCTGGGTCACTCTCCGGGGGCCCTTACCGTCTCCATCCTCTGCACAAGCGTCTCCAATTCTGTGATTTGCTTATGTTTTTCTTCAAGTTTTTCAGCAACTTGATTCAGACTTTCAACATGCTGTTTCAATGTCAGTTCTTTCTCAAGCTTGGTAACCTGGGGTCAGAAAAAAGATGTCTTGTTTTCATTAAACCAGATACAAATTATCTCTCAATAGAATTTGCTAACTAGCCAAGAAAGGAAGTATTCATATTTGTCTAGAATGACTCCTTTTTGTTGCTAATATGTCTTTGAATCTTCAGAAGGCTGCAAAGAGGTAATAACTTAATATGTCATTTATGTCCAGTGCTTCTTCATCGGGATCATCTCCTCCATCATCCTCCCCCATCCTACCTGCCCCCCCCCCCCGCCCCCAGGATCTTCCCACCAACATTCTCCACTTTAGAACTGCTCTTGATTGTAATGTTTGCTTCAAACTAAACATGATGAACTCAACACTAATTCAACAGAGAATTAATAATACATAAATACTAAGACTGTGTGCCTTTGTTACAATAAACATACTTTCTTTTTTCTTTTTGTCCATTGTGGGGCCTGAGCTCTGGGCCTGGGCACTGTTCCTCAGCTTTTCAGCTCAAGGCTAGAACTCTACCACTTGAGCCACAGCGCCACTTCTGGCTTTTTCTGCTTATGTGGTGCTGAGGAATTGAACCCTGGGCCTCATGCATGCAAGGCAAGCACTCTTCCACTGAGCCACCTTCCCAGCCCCCAATAAACATACTTTCTTAAGTGGAAAAAAAACTGGGTACTCATTTAAGAAAAGTGAAAGATTTCATTGTTTTGCAGCATAAAACAAAAAACAAAAACATCTTGATCAAGAAAATGTCATCTCATGTTCAGTGAGAACAATATTTCCTTTCTAAATCAGAAAGTATCATAAAAGCAGAATAGTAATCTCCACAGTGTTCAAGGGATGACTTACTTGCTAGGCATGTAGCAGAAGATGAAAAGCCACGGGGGGGGGGGAGGGTGAAGAAGGGTCCATCTAGCAACACCAAAGTGTCACTTGGTAGTGAGAGTCTCATCAGACTTCTACCTGATACTCACATGCATGACTGTGCGTCTTTAACACAACTCAAGAGTCCTCAGTAAAGGGTAAATGTGAATATCTGCCCTTCACCACACTACATGAGCATTTCTGCCAGACCATTCAGCCCAGGGCTATAGTGCTTACAGGGACAGGAGCATCCTGTCTCTGCAGCTCCCATGCTGCCCAGAGCCATCTCCTGGCCAACCACACCAACCAGTTCCCTTCACTCACTTAAGCCCTTCATTCCCATGCATTATGTGCTCAAGTGAATTAGTAACGATCAGCACCACAGCCAGAAGCCTGGGAGAGTCATGTGGGTAGTGGATTTCCTACTGTGATCCCTGGGGGCCTTCCTACAGCCCAATCTGGGGAGACCCAAGCCCCTTACCCAGCATAAACAAACGCCCTTTCTATCTGTTTCATATTCTGAGTCTCAGCAAAAACACATCTATTTGCATGTGCGTTCATGCACTCATACACACACAAGCACAATTTTTCTTCTTCTAGTTCTCTAATATTAATTTTTCTAATGTTTCTTGGTTGGTCTTCTCATGCAATGGTTCAGATTTAAATGCAAATAAAAACAGTACGCATATGTGTGTGAGCTTGCATGTATATACTTTTAAATACATGTATGTTTATTTTAGATGCATGTATGTTTATAAACATATAGAAATGTGCTGTTCACATTTTAATTAATTTTTAAAATTATGATTAATGTATCCTTGGAGTCAAATAATTTTTAACTATTTGTCTGCCTTGCTTCTTCCCTTCTGGAGACAAAGACACCCAGATCTGGAGAAGCAACTTTATCTAGATGTATTATTAGTCAAAGGAAGATACAGGGGCGGAATTGCTGGCAATGCTCCGTGGGGCCAGTCCTGGCCTCCAGGCCGCATGGCCTGTCTTCCCGACCTGTGCTGTACAGGACTTTGGGCAAGACAGACAGGCAGGCACAGTAGCACAGTGATCTGTGGTGCTGGCTAAGCAGGTCTCTGCCTTGTTTCCAAACTGGAGAAACCACTAAGCATGACTTATGGCACATCTATGTCTTCCAGCAAGAGAGACTGGGCAGTGAGGTGAGGGGCAGCGTCGGTTCTGTATTAGTAAACTGCTAGCTGGTACCTGGAGTAAGTGCTTGCTGTCCTCATGCCGTTTCCTCGCATCTTCAGATTGTGTCTGGTAGTTCTCAAATAACCTCTGGGCCATGTTTCTCAGAGCTGCTGCTCCTGCCTCTCTGGAGGCTTCCAGCTAGGGAAAAAGGTCACTCTGCTTGTTTGACATTTCCAATAAAGAGCGTGTAAAGCAGAACAATTGGATGGTCCATTTCTTTTCTTTTCTTTTTTAAAGAGAGTCCATTTTGGTACATTTTGATATTTATTAGGAGAAAGGTGAAAAAATGAGAAAGCCTTTATTTTGTGGGGCAGGGAATTTAGGAATATCTGTGTGGGCTAACCCAAAGCTCTGTGAACACAGGTGCCTTGGAAGGATGGACCACATCCTTCAGAGAACTCCACAGCACCCCCATCCACTTACCCACGCATGTGCAAGCCTTTGATCTTTTTCTTTTTTTATTGTGAACATACTGTACAGAGGGGTTACACTTACATGGGCAAGATAATGAGTACATTTCTTATCAAGCATTGTAGCCTCCTCCTTTGTTTACCCTTCACATCCCTTCCCAGCCTCCCCCCACCCCCACCCAATTCTCCCCCCCCCGCCCCCGCACCAAAGTTGTAAAGTTCATTTTCAACATGGCAATTTGTTATTGTCCACCTCAGTGTTAACAGGAGGGACAAGTTTGGAGATGTAAGAGTAATAATGTTCAAGTGTCCTTAAAACACTCAAGGATTTAACCTGAGGAAATAATCAAGGATGGCTACAAAGACAGTCATTGTATGGCTTCATAGAAAATAATACCATACAAGGAAGATAGGAAGCGTCCAACAATAGATAAGTTTGACTATAAAGGCTATACTTAATATTAATGAAATATGCAAATGCCTTTCAATTTTTATTATTTTAAAGAAGCTACTTATGTAATATAACACTGTTAACTAGAAGCATAAGGAGGGCCTCTAGATCTTACTCATAAGTAGCTTAAGGAAGATGAGTAAGAATGCTGAACAATATGTTGGAAATGATCTGTACCACTTGGAGAGTGGAGGGTAGGCGGAGGAGGGAAAGTAAGAGAAAATGAGGGAAGGGGTAACAAGTTTGACAAGAAATGAACTCATTACCTTACTTATGTAACTGCAACGGCGCTGCACATCACTTTGACAATAAAAAACCAAAAAAATTTAAAAACCTACTGAGCGAACTTCTGTGAGATTTCTTCAATAACGAAAATCATCTCCAAAATGTAAATGTGAGGCTTATAAACATGAACCCACATCCCGACGTGCGTGGACACATGAGTTGGCCAATGCGTGTGTGTAGATGCCTCAGCTTCTGCCCATCCATCAATGTGAACAATCTATCTGTTATCTCAATAGGTAGAAATACAAAGTCAGAACTTTCCTCGAGTTATTCTACCTTGATTTTCAAGACTTCATTCTCCTTGTTCATCTCTAGGAGCTGCAGGTCTTTTCCTCTGATTTTTTGCATGAGCAAGTCCAAGCTGCCACAAGAAGGGTCCATTTTAGCATCAGTGCCATTTTGAATGTTTTCATAGAGCTGAAAAGGACAAACATGAAACAGAATGTCACTTTTGTTCTATGAAATTGGACAATGTCATCGTTCCATATTATACATGGCAATGAGAATTTATGTCTATGCGCATGAGTTCATGCACACACACACACACATACATCTTTGGGATCTCAAATATCAATGGAGATTTTAGATGAAACAACTGATATCTACATTTTCTCAAATTTTAAGATTCTTCTATTAAAAGAGCTAGACTTAGATTTTCAATGCCATTTGTCTTTCCCACAGGTTTATCACTAGGAATATCTTAGGAGACAAATAATAGCCATAAGATGAGATATTTTTACCATCTAAAGTTATGCACATAAATACTTTTGGCACTTTTGCATTACAGACTAATATATGATTTGATCTAATGGCAGAATCCTTTATATTCAAGGTTCAACGATGCTTCATTACAATCGCTTCATATTAAATTTCCACTCAGAATTGAGTCTTGCAGCTGTTAGGACTCTGTGAACTCATGCTTGCTGAAAATATTCCTAGAGCACACTTCTCATCAGAAATCGTAAACATATGATGAGAGAAAGGAAATTAGAGAGCGTCCAACTTAACCTTAAGGACACAGAAAGGACACAGAACCTGAGGACCAGACCTGCATTTGCATAGCAACTAAATGCAGGAGCTCATAGACAGCCATGATGAAGGGTAGATCATGGAAAATTAGTATTCTTGCTATTGCTTCTAACGTATTTATAAGGTACCATGTGATTTTGTTGTTGTTGTTTGTATGCCCCTCCCCCACAGTATAAACTCTGTTTTCATTGTATTTGATGTCAGTATAATTTGGGGAGGGGAAGGGAAAAAACAAATTGTTTAAATAGGGATACAGGTGGACCCATTGCAACAATGAAATGTACAAGACGCTATGTTCAAAAACGAACTTTAGCCGGGCACTGGTGGCTCACGCCTGTAATCCTAGGTTCTCAGGAGGCTGAGATCTGAGGATCTCGATTCAAGGCCAGCCTGGGCAGGAAAGTCCGTGAGACTCTTATCTCCAATAAACCACCAGAAAACCAGAAGTGGTGCTGTACCTCAAGTGGTAGAGCGCCTGAAGAGCTGAGGGACAGCGCCCAAGCCCAGAGTTCATGCCCCACGACCAACAGGAAAAAAAAAAAACAGAAAAAAAAGAAAGAAAGAAAGAAAGAAAGGAAGGAAGGAAGGAAGGAAGGAAGGAAGGAAGGAAGGAAGGAAGGAAGGAAGAAAGAAAGAAAGAAAGAAAGAAAGAAAGAAAGAAAGAAAGAAAGAAAGAAAGAAAGAAAGAAAGAAAGAAAGAAAAAGAAAGAAGAACTTTACAATTTAGGTGGGGGTGGGGGGTGGGGGGAGTATAGTTGTGGAGGTGGGAGGGAAGGGAGGGTAGGGGAAAAACAAAGGAGGAGGCAACAATGCTTGATAAGAAATGTACTCATTACCTTGCTCATGTCACTGTAACCCTCTGTACAGTATTTTCACAATAAAAAACTTATTTTTTTTTTAAAGAGGTGTGGGGTGAGCACTGGAGGCCACTAATCAAACCAGCCTCAATCAGCTCCGGGATCATGTGTACCATCTCCGCTCCTCCTAGGCCTAACAGAGAACTCAGCAAGGCCATAACTGCATTTTGATCTTCTGTATCATCCCCCAACGTACTTTCCCTGGTTACAGAGCACTAAATTTGAGAAAATTAATGTTAGAGTTGAAAGCTGAGAATGAGAGAGGACTGTGCTGATGTATCGTGTCCATGTCCCAGTGTACTCTGAGGCCACACCAGACAGACACTCTGACAAGGTATGCTTTGCCTCAGATGAAATTAAACTGGCACAATCCCAACCAGGAAAAGTCAAGTTTGCTCCGTCTTAGGTGCCTATGATCCTGCCATTGAAAGCTGAGGAGCAGCTCGCAGTTTCACCCATGGACAGGGAACAAGCTGGAATGCCTCAGTCCTCGTCCACTGCAATAGCCCGGGAAATGTGGCTGCCATGTGTCCTGGCGGATTGGATAATTAAGTTCTGTTGAAAATATCCAAACAAGTTCTATCCCTTACAGACTAATCTCATTAACGATTTCACACATAGAATGGTAACACCCTTAGTTACACACAACTGTTTTTATCACTGATCCTTCAAAACTTCAAAGAATGACATTTTCTAAAAGAATTATTTAAAGAAAGGGTATATGGTAAAGAAAAGGGATATGGTTTTATGCTACTTTTGTTGCTGGATTCATTACCTTTGCCTCTAGCTTGTGATTTGTGCTGTTATGTCCTATTTCATCTTTAAACATTTGATTTCGGATCTTCTCCAGAGTAGTTCGAATCTAGAGGAGAAAAGTATTTTATTTTTGGTAGGACAGGCAATGTTGTTGTTTTTGTTTATACCAGCTACAGGTTACTCAATTTATCTAGAAAGCAAAACATATAGTTTAATGTCAGGTTTAAGTAACTGCCACCAACATAAATTACATTTATGTTAACATTGTTTTGATAACTGAAAATAAATATTTAGTCCTTGTATCTCTTTTCAGACAAACGTAAAATACAATAACTTAAATTAATATTATACTACCAAGTAATTATTATTCAGTAATTAGCACTTAATACTATGCATTAAGTCCAATTTTTTCTATATAGTAATTTAGCACTAATTTACTGTTTAGTAATTACTATAAAACAATTACTATCTTAGTAATCACTACAAAATAATTACTATCTAGTAATTACTGCAAAATAATTACTACCTACTAATTACTAGAAAATAATTACTATTAAGTAATTTACCACAGAATAATCACTAAGAAGAGATCATATAGATTTATGCATGAAATATCAGCCCCAGGTCTTAAGGACCTATGGAATTGTATGGCACTCAAATATAATTTAATTAGTTGACCTGACTGAATTATGAATTAGCAATAACAGAATTTCTCCATCTGTTATAAAGAAGAGTTAATATGAATGCCTTCTTTTGTTAACCCTTCTCTCCAAAGATTCACATTTTAATGAGGTAACGTGCCAAAATGCAGCCATCAGCAATAGCTACCCTGAACTGTGATGAGGAGCAAGGTAAGGAGATTCAGCAAGAAATGTAAACATCACCTTGGGAATACAGTAACCAGTGGGAAAGGTTACAAACCAGTGGCAGATCCAGCCCCAAATTGTGTGGGACCAATGGGTGTGCCTCACGCTCCTGGCCCATTCTTCAGTTTTACAGAGTGATTGAATGAAATCATTTTGTTTCAAGTGTAGGATCAAATTCAAACCTTGAAGAGCAATGGCCAAGCATGTGTTTAAGTTCCAGATCCAGTTGTTGTTTTATAAATATGGGCCATAGAGAAGGAAACAAGCCCATTAATTCCTATCAGAATTTATCTTCAGCAATCATATCACGCAAAATGATTTCTCATTCCCACACACCTTTCTCACATATTCAGTTTCTTCAATAATGTGTGCTGATGTAGCCTCATACACAGCAGCATTATCTTCTATTATACTTGTTGGCAGAGCTTCTGTGGTCACATTTACTGTTGTCATTGTGAATTCTGGCTTTGGAAAAATAAACAAAAGCATTTCTTTTTTATTGTATAATCATGTGGTTCACAAACTTACATGTGTAAGTACCGTACAAATATAGGACAAAAAATTTAAGTCGTTCACAAGAGGCAGAGGTTGGGACAATCACAGTTCAAGGCCAACCCTAAGAGAGAGGCTCTCAAGACCTCATCTTAGCCAATAAAATGCTGAGGTGGTACAGCATGAATCTGTCACCCAATCGAGGATCTGATCTGATCTGGGCATAAATGAGACCAATGAGAACCAAGGAGACCAAAAGAACCCAGGCATGACTACTGTGTTAGGGCACCTGCCTCACAAACACAAGTTTCTGAGTTCAAATTCCAGAACTGGGGGGGGGGGGGGGTGCGGCGGGGAGTGTACTGATATCAATTTATACTCATAAGTCAATTTAGTGTGAAAGCAATATCATCCAAGTGGTATAGCACCAACCAAACAAGCAAACACAGCAAGCACAAGGCCTTGATTTCAAATTTCAGTACAGCAAAAAATAAATTAAATTAAAATTAAATAACCCAAGTGAGAAAATGTGAAATTTCTCTGTATTCAGCATTACTGAATTTCAAGTGTCAGAGCTGTGACTTCATGTTTTAGCACACTGTGTTTGATAAATATGTGTGGAACCAAAAATTACAATAGCAATAATACTTCATTGTGTGTATGTGTTTGTGTGTAGATACAGAGAGAGAGAGACAGACAGACAGACAGACAGACTGACAGACAGACAGACAGACACTAAGGCTATCTACTGAAGATAATATCCAAAAACTGTAAAAATTCAAATGCCCAAAGCAAAGCCAGGCACTGCTGGCTCATGCCTGTAGTCCTAGTTATTTAGGAGCCTGAGATCTGAGTATCATGGTTCAAAGTCGGTCCAGGCAGAAAAGTTCATGACACTCAACTCCAGTTAACTACCAAAACAAGAAAGAAAGCAAGCTGCAAGTAGAGCTCTGGCTCAAGTGGTAGAGTGCTAGCCTTGAGCACAAAAGCTCAGAGGCAGTGCCCATGCAATGAGTTTAAGGCCCAGTAGTGGCACACACACACACACACACACACACACACACACACACACACACACACACACGCATGCATGCACACATACACACACACAAAAGAGATTGAATAAATGACTTCTGTGGAGTCATCTTTAGTTTGTATTATTCAATTTTTAAAAGCATAGTAAATAATATATAACATCTTACTTTCTACAAGAAAAACGCCAAAGGGCTGGGAAGGTGGCTCAGTGGTAGAGCGCTTGCCTTGCATGCCTGAGGCCCTGGGTTCGATTCCTCAGCACCACATAAGCAAAAAGAAAAAAAAAAAAAAAAAGAAAAATGCCAAATATGAATAGGAGAGGAAAATCATATAGTTCTGACACAGAGCCATATAAATATTTGAAATAACTGTAAAACAAAATTATAAAAGGAAAAGAGCCATGCACTGGTGACTCACACTTGTAACATTAGCTACTCAGGAGGCTGAGGATAGTAGTTCAAAGCCAACCTTGGACAGGAAAGTCTATGAGGTTCTGGTTTCCAATAAACCAGCAAAATTCTGAAAGTAGAAATATGGCTCAAGAGGTTAGAGGACAAGCTTTGAGTAAAAATCCCAAGCAAGGGCATAAGGCCTTGTGCTCAAATCCTAGTGCCAGTATTATAAAATGAAATTCTTAGGTAAAAACTTTGTGATCTGAGCTGGGTTTATGAGTATAAAATAATGTCTTGTCCTTAAAGTATATTCAGTCTACCACCATCCACTGAAGACTCAGAAATGGTAGTAATTAACACCCCAGATAATTTGTATACTATATCCCTCTATAAAATACTAAGGATTTTTGTCTAGGTAATATCCAGGGCAACAAATCTATAAAGTAAATCTAAGCTATCATATCATACTAGCAACCAAAAACATGGAACAAATATTGCTCAATCAAGACATGAAAGCTATCTTGGGGAAAAAAAGACTGTGATGGATTGATATATCAAAAATCTCTAATCTTTGAATTTATGATAGGTGAAAACCATCACCACAGCTCTTCTTGTCTGCCCCAGGAAGTTGATAAGGCACCACCTGAATGAAAATAGAACACAGTTGTAGGAAAAAAAAAACTAACAAAAAATTAAAAATAAAAGAGAAGAGGAAGGGGGGAGAGAGATCAGGAAGGGCAGAAGAGGGAGGAGGAAAGGGAGAGGGGAATAGAGGAAGGGAAAGGGGGAGGAAAGGAAGGAGGGAAGGGAAGGAGGGAAGGAGGAAGGGAGGGAAAGGAAGGAGGGAAGGGAAGGATGGGAAGGAGGAAGGGAGGGAAAGTAGAGGGAGGGAGGGAGGGAGGAAAATTGGAAACAATAAGCATTTATTTTATTTCAGCTGATAAGAGAAAGTTTCCTAAAGTTAAGAAATTAAAATGGATTGATGGACTTTAAAAACCTAACATTTCCATGGAATTCTATGCCTCCATCAGAAAGAATGACATTTCCCCATTTGTTAGGAAATGGAAAGGCTTGGAAAAAATTATATTAAGTGAAGTAAGCCAGGCCCAAAGAAACATAGGTCCAATGGTTTCCCTTATTTGCAATATCTAGTATAGGTATGAGTCAAGCGGAAAAAGTCAGATAATGTCATGTTAGGAAAACGAAACCTCAAATATGTATTTTAATGTTTTTGTTTCTTTCATGCATGTATTTCTAACGCATTTATAAGATTATTTCTTTGTTGCTTTGTATGTCCCTCCCCCACAGTGTAACCCCCGCTTTCACTATATTTGATGTCAGTATAACATGTGGAGGAGATGGGGACAAACAAGTCGTTTAAGGATTCAGGTGGACCTGTTGCAACAATGAGAAGTACAAAATGTCATGTCAAAACCAGCTTTACAATGTCGGTGGGGGGGGGGGTTATGATTGGGTGGGAGGGAGGGGGGAGGCTGGGAAGGGAGGTGAAGGGTAAACAAAGGAGGAGGCTGCAATGCTTGGTAAGAAATGTATGCATTATCCTGCCCATGTAATTATAACCCCTCTGTACAGTATGTTCTCAAATAAAATACAATAAAATTAAAAAAAAAAAAAAAACCTAACATTTCCAACACTTTAGGAAACAATAGCTCTAAGCAACAATCATCTACAAAAGTTAGAAACATTAGGTGAAAGTTTAATGACAAACACATTAATCAGAAAGACCTCATTAATTGATCTTAGTGTAACTAAAATCTAACATGAATAAAGAGTCTTAAGAGACTTATGGCCAAATGCAGTACATAAATCTTTTTAGATTCTGCCTTCAATAAACCAATTATATAAAGACATTCTAAGACTGACTGGAAAAAGCTGAGAGTGTAGAATCCCTGCAATTTCACTTGTCTGATAATGGAATTCCAAATTTCTGTTAGAAGAACCTATTTATTAATTTTTCATACTACAATGCTTGTAGATTAAATAATAGAACATCAGTAGCTGTTTAACAATGGTAAGCAGAAAAATATTGGGGTTAGGATAATAAAGATAAAAAGAAGTCCCACAAAATACAGGTAATTGTTTATGTGGAATGGTAAGCAAGTGGTGTTCATACTTCTCTATTTGGTTTTGTTTGAAACTTTACAATTAAAAAGCAATAAGCTGTAATACAAAGAGCATGTAAAATAGAATTATTAAGCTCACTTTACTGATGAGAAAGGTAACACTCTTGTAAGTGACGTTAACTTACCCAGATTAGAGTGAAAACTAACAAGAGCATAAATTCAAACCTTGGTTTTTCTGACACTGAGTTCAAGATTGTTTCTATCCCACTGAAGCTGGCTTTCCCAGACACAAACAAACAAATAACCAAACACACACACACACACACACACACACACACACACAAATACAATCTAGCCATGCTGAAGACACAGAGAAGTTTTACATACATCAGCCTCAGGGAACCTCGGGGGACACCGCAGAATCCCACACTTATCCTTTAATCTTCAACGAAATTGACAGAGCAGGCCAGGAATTTTCCATTTCATTATAAATCCTCTTTCTGGTAGCTACGGCTTCTATTTGTTTCCACTGACTTTGCCTTGGCAGAGCAACTCTGAGTACTCCTGTGCCGAACATATGGAAAGAACTAATCCCCTTTGGTTCCTGATGTCTCTTTCAGGATTGAAAACGAGGTCCCAAACCACATTTAAATGCCCAAAGCAAACAAAACACCCTTTCAGACAAAAAAAATAGTAATACGTTGGGAAGCTAAGAGGAGGATGGGCAGGCCAAGGTTGACTCCACACCTATTTTGACAACCTAGGCTAAGACTGTTCCTACATTCATGAATGGCTCAAAAAGGAATGACTCTTCACGACACATGAAAAGAATATGAAGTTCCAGTTCAGTATTCATACATGAAGTTGTACTCCAACACACCCATGCCACATCTGTATATGACCCCTGCAGCTTTGACCCTACAAACAGCAGCACTGGGTGATTGTGACAGAGACAGAATATAGAAAGCAAAGCCTGAAATATTTACTGTCTGGTGCTTTCCAGGAAAGCACCAAATCCCTGAGTTAGAGAATGAATGACAGAGAATGGGAGTTGAGCCATGGTAAATTAGAGACCAGTGAAGAAATAAATCTGGTTTAGACTGAGTTTCTTTCTCTTATTCGATCTTGGAGCTCATATGATAAATTTACTTTCTTTTTCTTCTCTTTTTTGTATGGAATGCATTATGTTCATTAACAAATAAGAAGAGACATTTTCAGCCTGGAAATGAATCATTCTTTGGAAAACTCCCTATTGTGTTCACCCAATCCTTCATAAGCTGATCATCACTTGGTCCTTGTATGATGCATCCTAAAATATATTGTACTTTTGTGTGTACCTTTGTGTGCGGGGGGCGGGGGGGGTGAGGGGGGACATGCACCATGCTGCTCGTAGAACTTGAAACTTGAACTCCAGGGATTGAACTGTCTCTCAGCTTTCACACTCAAGGCTAACGTTCTACCA